GGGGGCAACACCCTGTATATGTGAGTGGTTTTTTTTCAGACTTTCATGATTATTTGGAGAGATACTGGGAGGAGCCATACTCCACAGAATATATTTTTCCACTAAGAAATCCCCACTAGAAACTCCTGTCCTCAGTGCTTTTCTTTCTGAGCCTCTAATGTGTTTCTCTCTGTCTCTGCCTCTCTGCTCCTAATTTTTTTCTTCCCTCCAGGTTTCCACCCTATGACATACTTTACCCTCCATTCTTCCTCTCCCTGCCTTTTACTACGCTGGACAATTTGCTGAATATTCTTGGTTATTTAAGTATGCTGAGTGTTTCAGCTTTCACCCCCAATTATTTTCACTGAAACTTTCTTACGAATAAATGTGGGTTTCTCTGTAGAAAGGAGTTCTGGTGATTGGGATTTTCTTTCTTTTTTGCATCCACAAATGTGCATTTGCATAGATACTGTATTTGAAATGTGTACTTTTAAGGGTTTAACGTGGATCATGGTTTGAACACCCAACTGGTTGAGGAATTTTGAATTAATGAAGCTGGATGGGCTAAAACAATGGTGCTCTGGCCTTTTGCTTTTTGAAATACTGCTGCATAAAAAAATGGCTGAGCAGAGCACGACCATGGGCAACATAAGTGATCAGCTCACAGCTCCTGGCTTATAAGAACCCTTAGAGACTCCACCTGCAGTAACCAATGCTTTGGACTTATCAGTGCTCTAATCAGGAATCTCAATGGATTTCTATTGCAGAGGCTCTGGGAAGGCAGGGACTAGGTGTGATGTGTACACTGCTATCTCCTCAGAGCTCAGAAAAGGGGGCGGGACATAAAAATTTGTTTAATATATGGATAATACAAGTTAAAATTTTCATCAGTCAGGATAGACTTGGTCATGCTGTAATAACAAATAGCCCCACAGTCTCAACTGCTTAAAGAACAAACTATTCTGAATTCATTATGAACATGCATTATGGGTTGGCATGGGGTAGGAGCCTCTACTCCTTGTAGTCGTTTATAGATCAAGGCTAAGAGTGCAGCTAGTCCCTGTTCAAGTGGCAAAGAGAGATCTGAGGGGTTGTTGCTTCAACCACTAAATGCTCCAGCCTTACGGCAGTACCATCAGTTCTGCTGACATCTCACCGGCTGAAAGCTCCATAAAGGATCAGGAAGCACAATCCTGCGGTTGCCAGGAGGTAGAAAAGCCCAACTACCTTTGAAAGATGTGAAAGTAGTTTCACTTCCACCTGGGAGAATGAACTAAGTTGCCTTAAATGTCAATATGTACCGATGCTTCTATTATTAGGACAAATGTTAATTCAATGCAATACAATAGACTACAATGTATTTGATAGAAAAAAAATGTAACCATGTTGATATTCTTGTTTTATTACATATATACAGAGAAAGTCACTTAAACCTGAAAGGGCAAGGCTTCTTTCCAACCCTTTTTTTTTTTTTTTTTAAATTTTAATTTTCACTTACTAGCTCTATTACCTTGAGTAAATTTCTTTTCTTTTCTTTTTTGGAAATATATCTTTATTGATTTCAGAGAGATGAAGGGAGAGGGAGAGATAGAAAAATCAATGATGAGAGAAAGTCATTGATTGGCTGCCTCCTGCACGCCCCCGGCTGGGGATGGAACCCCCAACCCGGGCCTGTGCCCTGACTGTGAATCCAATGCCACCTTCTGGATCCTAGGTCCACGCTCAACACCTGAGCGACCCCTGGCTGGGCACCTTGAGCAAATTTCTTAATCTCCTTCTCCCCCATCAGGTTCACAGTTCATGAAATGGTGACAATAACAATATGTATCTGGGTTAGTAAATAAAATTAATAAGGGGGTTAATAAAAAGGGTTGAGTTACACCTTACAGGAAACACACTATAGGGAAGTGCCAGCACATGGTGAAGGCTTAATAAACATTAGCCGCTGATGATGTTTTATTATTTTTGTCTTGATATTGCATATTCTGTGTCAACTTTCTACATATATTCACCAATACAGCAACAATGAACCACAGAAATGGGCCATGCAATACCAACTGGAACTCTGGCGTTTCTGACTTATTTTTAACTGTAAGATTAGTAGCTTACTGTTATCTTGAAATTTGTTATTGGTAAGGTTTACTAAACAGTTGATATGTTACAAAGAGCTATTATGTGTGCATTACGCAACGAGAAAGGCCAGTGGGAAGGCTGATGAGCCTGAAGGGTCCCTCACTCCTCATTGTTTGTGACACGAGGAAAGATAGTGGCTTCCAAAGATTCATTGCAGCATCGAACCTTCTTTATGATGCCTGCGAAAGGCAAGAGTATTCTAGAGCATTTCAAAAGGTTTTTGAGGGAGGAAATTATAAGAACTAACTTGATTTTGAAAGTAATATGAAAGACTAGGCAGTATAGCCTATGGCTGTGGAGACACATTGATCACGTTCTCTGCCTTGTCCCCATGCATGTACACATAGTAGGTGCTTTATAGGGGATTTGTGAAATAGTTGAATGAGCATTTTTGAGAATCACGGCTAGTGCAATCTGTAAGTGACAACGAGGTCACCTCACATGCATCGTTGACGTTTAGGTACGATCCAAACACACTTGATTTCCAAAGAAGCAAGTGTTCAATCTGTGGTACCAGAAACAAAATGTTGAACTTCTGAGTGCTTCCCCTCCCCATCCCCACCCCAGCACGTTATTTGAGGAAAAGGGACATTTAAACATATTGCTTTCAGCACATTTCTTTGTCGAAATCCAGTCTTCAATGCTGAAAATGGCATATTTCCATTTATTAAACAGGTTAAAAAACTCAGAAGGTTTTTACTTGGCTTATGCATATAAACATTTATACTGTATCCCAGATATACCATATCTCCAGGTTTAGCTGCCAAAACAATTGAGAGACTTAAATTTATACACACCTACTAATATTTTTGGTTAACTTACCGGTTATCAGAACATTAAGGGGTTAGAAATGGCTCATATTTCACTTTCCCACTTACTGTTGTAAGTCTAACGCCCATTAACACTATCAATATTTTGCAGAATGCTTTTTCCTTTTGTTTCTCTTTCCCTCTTCGCTCGTTTGGCAAATGAGTATTATTGGTAACCCTCTCCCCTCACATACCAGGCGACGCACAGTTACAGGGCTGCCTGAGCTGCGGGTGAGCGAGTGGGGGGGCTGCCGTTCCCGGTGGCTGGAACAGGGGGTAGTGTCACTTTAAGACGTGTGGGACTTTACAGAGGAGGGGTGTATTGAAACCGGCTCCTGCTACTTACAGCACCGCACAGCAGCCCGGCTCCTGCATTTTGATGCCTTACTCTGCCCCGAATGCACAGGAGAGGGGACGGTCCGTCATTAATTATAAACTGACTCTCATCGGGAAACTGCACATTGTCTCACCAGCACTCCAAAGGGCTCGTCAGGCAGAGGTGATGCCAGGGGATGATTTAAAGGTGAAAATGACAACGTTTTCACCCCTCAAACCTTGGCTCCTTTTTTGACAATACAGTCTGAATGAACCGGTGTCTCCTTTCTTGTGGAAATAGCATCAGAGGAGAAAAACCTATCTTTTTAATCCTGATAAAGAAGACTATTGGGAAGCTCTCTTTACAAACATCTCGAATTGTGGCACAGATGGATTTTAGGAAGTGTTAGAGCTTTCCAATGAACACTAATAGAGTGCTCTGCTCTTGGCTGGATTTTTCAGGTAAGAAGCCCCTTTTAAGGATTTAAGATTCGGAAAGCAGATGTGTAGCCTGTTCATGGTCTCTGGAGAACGCTGTGGGGCTGCATGCATTATTTGGGGGAAAACACCTCTTAACACAGAGACGACCTCTGGGGAAGAGTGAGCCATGGGAGCGATATGTAGGAGCCGTGGAAGTGATGCTGAGAATTAAAGAAAGTTACATGGAAAAAGGCAAGGAAGGGGAGTCCTGCAGAGGTCAAGCCACCGTGATCTCTGAGCGCTAGGATCCGGTGGGGATGAGAGCGAGGGAGGCAGGCACCGGGAAACCGTAAGTTTCCGTGGTGGTTCTGAGGCTTCTTTTCAAGTTTAGATTAATTCCTTCTGCATTTTACCTGAAATTCACAAGCAGTCAGTGCCTGCCACAGTCACCTCTGTTTTGTCTTTCTACAGTTTTCACGGTCTTTTGAAAAGGCCCCCAAATGCATTCGCTCAGGATTCACAGGAGGGGTGTCGCTATGTATCTGCTGAAGGGAATTTATGCTACACTGATAGTTCTGGAGACAATGAGGCTAAATCTGCTGTGTACAAAAGTAAACAGTGGGCAGCGAAAGTAATTACAAAGTGAATGGTCCATCTGAGTCTCAGACAGGGGCATCAAGAGCACATGCTGTTGGAAACAATGTATCCTTACTTTGCACTTAATTATGGTTGTCACCATTTGTCTATTATATCCTAAAACCCTTCTTAAAGGCATCTCTCTCTTAAAACCCATAAATTATCTTGTATTATGTCTGTATAGACACACACACATAATGTATATTTTTGCTTTCTGAACATTACAATTTTTGAAAGAGTACCAATTTCTATGACTTAAAGAAGCCACAATGGGAGGTCACTAGCAGGTTTTAAATGTATAGTTGAAATAATTGAAGTGTAGGATTTTACAGTGGAAAATTAAAAAAAATAAAAATTAAAAATAAAAGATCTTGGTTCTAAAGCTCTCTCTCTAAGAGAAAAGCATATACTTAGCTGGATTCCTGTATAGAAAATGCTTCCATATCCCTGGCTGAGTAAGGGAGATGTTTCAAGTTGATTAATTTGGCAATATGAAATGCAGCAGAAGGTGTTGTTTGAGAAATTGGACAATATGTAGCGCAGCTGAGCCTTTGTAGCTCTAAGATCCTTATAGGTGCCGATAAGACTGTCAAAGTTTCAGCGCCTGCGAAAAGGTGTATGTTCATCCATAAATACACACACCACCTGTACATACATATTCATCAACACTATACAACAAATGCCACAATGGGATCTGAGGAAGCAAAGCAATATTGTAAATGATGGCTTGCTCTACGGTCGAGGCATAGATCTTGCCTCTGAAACTCCTTCTGGCTGAAGACAATTTCTTCTGATTTTAAGTCCAGCCGAAAAGACAGATTCCATCAGGAGATTACAAAATGCCTCTGAGAAATGATTACTTAGTTTAGAAGCTAGCACAGTGATTAAAAATTCATGACTGTAGAATTAAAAAAAGAATCCGCTCTTTCCTTTCAGGCTTGTGTCAGACTTGCCATGAAGTTAGAATGGAAAGGAGTCCGCAGCTTTTCAATGCCTGGAACAGCTAGAACTTAAAGATCACTGTGTGAAACAGGGTGTTCGGTTTCGATACTCTGTTTCAGACTGCCTTAGCCACAGGCAACCTTTAACTTATTTTTGTTTTTTGGCAATCCTTGGAGTCCGTGTTCCTGAATTTCAAAATTGAAGTCCTGATCTTCTAGAGAGTGCTTTGCTTCAATCCCACCTCATGGCATGACCTCTGCTGGGTCATTTGTTCTAGTAGCAAAGGGGCATGACGTCCGAGACCCCCCTTCTCTCATCAGCAGAGCTGACTGAGCTGGGGGCCTGAAGCTGGGGCTAATCCTCCCTGTCTGATGTCCTCCTAGAGCATGGCGATGGTCTCTGCGATGTCCTGGGTCCTGTACCTGTGGATAGGTGCTTGTGCAATGCTGCTCTGCCATGGAGCCCTTCAGCACACCTTCCAGCAGCACCACCTGCACAGACCAGGTAAGCAGGCCGGTTCCTCGCAGCCTCCAGTCTCACCGCCGTCTCCCTAGCAGATTGCTAAAGGCAGGTGACATGAAGGGCTATGGTCTGGGCAGCTTGCCTCTGAATTCCAAGACATATTGTTGGCTGGATGCTTTGGGAAAAGAGTGTTTACTAAAAGGACTTGGAGGTATTTCTATTAACTTCTCAAAAATGGGGTTTTCTCTAAGAGTCAGCCCCCCCCCCACACACACACCTAAAACACAGGAGTCCTTTGTGTTTGGATACTTTGGTCAAAACCAAAATATTCTGCAAAAGGTGGGATAATTTTCAAGACGAGGGTTTTTTAGGGGACAGAATATGATCTTTGCAGCTGACCAAATGATGTGTGTGTTCTTGGGAAGCGTTTTTTCTAGTACAGATACTATCCTCTGGGTGGATGTGTGGCTGAGGGTTTTGTGGAAATGTTGGTGCCAAAACTGACTTTGGAAGTAGTTTGTCAATGAAAAAGAAATTAAAAAGTAACTTACTCTTTCTTGTCTGCCTTAATCTGTCTCCGCTCCCTTCACCGCCTGCTGGCCAGCGTGCTCCGCGGCTGCGCCTCCCTCTCTGGGCAGTTTCGGGGACAACTTCCCTTTAGCCTGATTTTTTTTTTCCTGTATTGAATTTTGAGTTCCGAAGCATTTTGCTTTCTTGGTCTGTTCTTTCCCCTTTCATGGCCTCGCTGAAATCTGGGTGTCCTCCCTCCTGCCTCTCCAGCTTTCTGGTGACTGCCCCCAGCTCGATTGTCTGTACAGCCTGGTTCTCGGAAAGGCTTCCTTCCATTTTCGGTTTAGCTTCAGCCTTTGCA